GGATCTGTACTGTTTAGGCCTGATTAAGAAGGCCTAATGGGCTTTATATTGAGGCCTCGAGATAGCAAAAAAGAAGAATATTACGGGTTTGATCTTTTTCTTTTTACACGTGGCGAATAACCATTGGATTAGCTGTATTAATGGCCGTAAAATCTGGGGAAAATCATAAAAATTCAAAATCTCAAAGTGTATCTCAGAGATTCAAAAAATTTCAAAAACCACAAAGTTTCCCTTTTCTCGTCTCTACTATCGCTCTTTGAACTAATAAGAAGCCACACATACAAAGGTATGATGATTCTCTCTTTAGTTTGCATTCGAGTTTCAGGACATCTTCTCTACTTTTTTTTTTTTTCCCCACTTCTTTAGTGTTAATCTGCTGTTGTGAAATGAAACCTTGTGTGTGTTGTTAGTAGGATCTATATAGGTAGGCAGTTACAGAAATGGTGAGAGAAGAGGAGGAGAAATCGAGATGGTGGTGGTTCGAGAGTCACAAGAGCTCCAACCATTCTCAATGGCTTCACTCAACACTCGCTGGTTCTTTTCCACTCAGATCCACTACTCCTTTACCCGTTTTAGCTCTATGTTCTGGTATTTGTATGAATAAAAATTGCTGCTTCTCAATTTTTGTAGAGCTCGATTGCTCAGCGAGCAGAGACTTACTACAAGAAACGCCCTGAGCTTATCACCATCGTCGAAGACTTTTACCGAGCGATTCGATCACTTGAAATCATCATCTGATAACCGTTCCTCTAAGTTTCATCAAGAAGATGAACCCATGGAATCTGTTTGTGGCAGCAATTCTCACGCCGATTCTGAGATCGAAGACCCCGATGAAGACCAAAAGGAATCATCACCTATTCCTACTCCTTTCCAACAAGAGATTAAGAAGATAAACTGCAAAGAAGATGAAACTTGGAAACTGGAACAAGAAATCCAAGAGACTGATGCTCTAAGGAGGCAGCTGTTAGAGAAGGACGAAGAGAAGAGAGAGGTCATTCGACAGCTCGCTCTGACCGTAGAGTCGCTCATAGAAGACAACTTGAGGCTGAAGAGAC